TTGATTTTTCTAAAAGATAGGCTGCGACATCGTTACTCAGCCTTTTGGTTCCAGATCCAATCTGTTTTCTGAACACGATAAAGCCAATCCATATGTCCATTTTGATTAACGTACTTTTATCGTTTTTTCGTATTGTCGAACAGAATTGTAAAGAACTTAATGGAAGACTGATATATATATATATATACTGAACATTCTTCCTAAATCCGATTCATATAAAGTCGATATAAATTATGACGAACACGTCGGTAAATATGATTATGCTATTGAACTATTGAGTTAATTAAAAGGACTACTTTAGGAGTACCTGGACTCATGCACGAAGGACTGTTTTTAAATCGGTGGTTTTGAAAAGGAGTATTCATTACATAGCGCGTTTTCTCCAGGCATAGTGTATGGATTGAAAGTAGATGGTGGGATATCCAAGAGAACTGCTTTATCAGCATTCAAAAACCTACACAAAATTCAACTTTATTTTGATAAACTATACATAAAAAACAGCTTTTGTTTTGGTGGTTATTAGGGAAGACCCAAATAAATTTACGTTTCTATTATTTATTTTATTTAAGATGCCCGTTTTGCAGTCTGTGACAAAATAACAAGAAGTGTACAGAGCAACATTAATCTAGTTAACTGGAGAACAATATAGGGGTAGATACTATATTTAAAATAGTTCGTTGAGATTATAGCCATTAAGAAATGAGTTCCCTTTTACTGATTTTCACCAAAGACGAAATTCATCTTCACTTTTTTTTTATTATTTAATTTTTAACAGATTTCTACCGTACATTTATTCTTCACTTTTTTTGCTTAATTTTTCAGAATGTTTGACGTAAAGTTCTCATAAAAGTAGTAAAAAAACTTCCTGTTTTCATATTCATTTGGGTGTTTTTATTCAATATCATGACAAATATAATGAGAGAATTTATGAATAATGTTAAAAAAACAGTAACAAGTCTTCAATACAAGCGAAATAAATTTTAAAATAGCATTTACTTAGCATATGCATGCTTCGAATGTTTTCAGCATTTCGAAAATTTCAGTTTCACAAACGTGGAATATATTTTCTCTAGTTCTTGTGCAAGTTAACTGTTCGAAATTTTTTCTTAAAACTTGAAAAAAAAAGAAAACACATTTTTATGTAAGACTATCTATTCACTCTATATCTTGTGATAAAGAAATATCAGAGCTATGAAGGTCCAGGAGTGTGTTAATGGTTAATCTGCTAGACATGCTTCAACCTAATTGATTAATTTAACTTGAGAGTCATTTCGAGTTAAATCTTTTTAACTTAATTTCATTCAAGGTTCAAAAGAAACCGGCGGTCTTCCAGACTTTCAACTGTGGGCACGTTATAAAGCGACAATTAATTCAGCTATTCGGTTTCAGGAGCTCTTGTAGCCATACGTTCTACTGATTGGCTGTCATTCTTTTGGCCAATATTCCAAATGAGGATAGCTATACCTGAATTCCAAGGGCTTCTGATTTGGCCATTTAACCTCTGTGTGCACAAGATGCCGTTCAGGTTGAAAAACTAATATGTTTACAAAATGGACTTGGACAGTAATTTATATCACGACTTTTGTTGGGTCTAAATATCTAAGTTTACAACAAAATATTACAGTAACTTATTTCCAGCTTGCAGTTTACGATTCGCGTGAATAACCTCTAGTTTTCTATCAATATACTTAAAAGAAAACTGAACGATCTTTAAAATAAACGTCAACTTTTCTAAAGCCTTAAAGGCCCGGCATGGCCTATCTTCGTTTAGACTATGTCTTTAGAGTCTGTTTTTGTACAATCCCTAAAATAAAAAAAAGTCAAAACGTACAGTAACATTAAAAACAATTGTTTATGTTCTATTCAAGTCTCGTAATAAAAAAAATGATACTCCACTATAAAAATTATTGTAAAGCACGAAGGAATGATTAAAGTACATCCATTTAAACTGAACCTACGAAAATAACTAGAAAATATAACTTGTTTTAAACGTTGCATTGACATACAAGTATCAATATTGTACATGCTCAAAATCGAGTTCTTAGTTTAACGTTTGTCACAAACATAATAGACACAGGGGTTCGTATAATCCAAATTTCAAAATCGTTTCTGTGTAACTATCTCAAAAACAAACATAAAAAACTACAAAATCGGCTCATCAGTGATAAAAAATGAATTTCAAAAATAATATTGCAAATAAACTGAATTTTAGTATCGAATATACTTTAAAAATTACAACCACGTTATAAACATGATGTTTAAAGATCATTAACTAAAGTACAGTGTCTCTACTATTTAGGAATTATAAATTTGGAATTATGACTTTCGTATTTTACATATTTACTTTTTCTAAGACATATTTTTCACTATGCGGTCAGCATTAGGTTTTTCTAGATAGTTTGTTTTCAAATACTTTTTTACTGTACCAATCAATTTTTTTCATAAAGTAAAATTGCCTCGTTGTTGGAAATTGAAGGTTGTGTTTTTCAGAAAATAAAATAAAGTAAGATAGTATTTCGTGCATAAGTTTAGAATGTAGAATCGCTAGCAAGTAAAGTGATAATCAAAACAAGATTAGACGTATCAACAGTCACTGGTTAAATTTCTGGCTACAATGATCATTGATGCTCGAATTGGAGCCCGGCATGGCCAGGTGGTTAAGGCGCTCGACTCGCACTCTGAGTCACACCAAACATGCTCGCCCTTTCAGCCGTGGTGGCGTTATAATGTGACGGTCAACCGTTGATAAAAGAGTAGCCCTAAATTAGGGACGGCTAACGCAGTTAGTCCTCGTGTATCTTTGCGCAAAATTCAAAAAAATCAAACTATTACAATTGAATTGAGAAAATTTCGAATGAAAAATAAAAGGGCTTAACTACTAAACTTCAATACACAGAAATATTCGTTAGATATACTGTTGCCCTTCGTCACTAATCAATTGTTGTACGTCATTTTTACCTAAGGAAATACATAGCAAAAAAAAACTGTAATCCTAAACTTTCAATCGAAATTTGATTCTATGATATTCTACAGATTAAGACTCCTCTTTTGGTTTGTCTGACTGAAATAAGATATCTCTTAATCGTTTAATTTTGTTACAACAAATTAACGTATTAGTATCGGAAATAGACCAATAAGAAAAAAAACTCATTTTAGTGATTTAATGATTTGTTTTTCTCCTGAAGATACGCAAATTCGTACCAACAAAATAAGGTTTAATTTCATAATAGATTGTTCAACGTCAGTTTGTGGGGACTGACACCAATACTCAATTCAAACTTTGAATTCAAGTTATTTTCCAGATTGTTATAATTCCTTCTTAGTATTTAGAGTTTTGTATAATCATTTAATGGTTCGACAGAAAGTTTCAAAGAAAATCCTTATAGGATCATGTATCATTGAAAAACCAACATTCCTACACAGGTACATTATTTTTTTATCTTTAAAAATAAAATTGTCTATCGAATGTTTTTATTCACACTCGTGTTTGGACTCGGTTGTTCGTTTTTTACCATCTCATTTACAACTGGGGCCGGACGAGGCCTAGTGATTAAATTGCTCGGACTGTAAAATTGAGGCTTCACGGTTTGCGACTCATTGCCATATAATCGTGTTTCACGTTTTGGGCTGTAGGTGCAGTATCAGAGTGACGACCAAATCCCGCTATTCGTTTAAAGTTGACAGTGAGGGGCGGGGGAGGGGGCGTTGCTTTCCCTCTAGACTATCGTTTCACAATAAGGGACGGCTATCCCAAATATTCATCGTAGATTTGCACGAATATCCGAAAAAAAAAACATTTATAGCTTGCCGTTTAATTTAATTATTTATTTTAAAATTAATTTCATTTGATCGTGTATTTGATTGAAAATTTTCTGTGTGCGTGTTTGAAAATTTGTGTACTATATATTGTCATCCAATTTATTTTTAAATGAGGTGAAAGTAATGGAAATTAGTATCAGAACAAAAACTTGAATTTGTCCTGCTATGAAAAGACAACTTAAAAATATTAAGTTAATTATAATTTACAAATAGATTTCAACGATAACGTTATATCCTATGAACATTCTTGACTTTTGTTGACAGAGTCGAAAAGGATATAGATGTGTACGCATTTTTCAATACGAGATGAGTAAAAATAAAAATAAAATGCTACTTACATGAACCTTCTCCGTCAACGTTTACCTTCCATCCATGTCCAGTATTTAACAAATATAGGCTCTTGTTTGACACGTAAGACCATTGTAATGGAAAGTCCAGCAGCTTAGAATGAGACTGTGCAACAGTCGGTTCAATGTCTATTGGTGATTGTTTGCTTCCTGCAGCTGCCGGAAATTTGCTGGCCCATGTGGCTGGTCCTAGTACCAAAGAAAGAAATTAAACAAGACCTTAATGAACCTGAAATCATTAACCAAGGTGTTTAAATGCTAGTGCTGTTATCTAGTTTATAATCTATCAGTTTTACTTATTGTTCATGTATTGAATTTTTCGTTGTTTTATTTAAAATAGATAAAACTAACGCAAACATTCACTGAAGATGCTGACCATATATTGCAGCAAAACACAATTAAACCAAATTTTAGACACGTATGTAGAATCTGATGGCCAAAGAATACTGTACTTTACAACCATCCTCATCAGGTAATGTTAGTCCAAACAATACAGTTATGTCAGTATTAAGTTACTAAGCCTTGTTTATTATCGCGTAAATCTTCATCTTATTTCTAGATCTTTAACAGACATTTTTATCGGCAGGTCATCTCAAACTTATGGAATGATTTGAACATTACTTACGAATTTTTTTCCGGGTATTTGGCTTAAACTACTCAAAGTTATCTGCGCTAGCCGCCCATTATTTTGAACTGGTGAACTAGACGGAAGGCAGCTAGTAACAACACCTGCTTCCAACTCTTGAGATACTCTTGTCTGACCGAACAGTAGGATGTGAGTGTCATCCTTATAACACATCCATGGCCCTAAATAGCAGAGTGCGTTTTTTTTAAAGAAAAATCAAACACTGGACTCACAGATCCATAGTCCAGCGCACTAGCCACTGGCCCACGCTCTGTTCAGCTACAGAGAATACAATTAATTTGGGTATTGGTTTGGTTGTTGTTAAGCACAAAGCTACATAATGGATTATCTGTGGAGTGCCCACCATGAGTATCGAAACCAGGTTTTAGCATTATAAGTATTCAGACTTACTACTGAGCCAGTGGGAAAAAAAAAATTGGGGAAGGATATGAGAGTAAATATTACACGTCACATAAAAAACCTGAAAGCTTTCTAGGTGGCTGTGGTATGTTCTAAATGAATGAATTAGCCATAAGTATCCGTGATATGGCGTAAGTTGTCACCATTTTAAGTACATGCATCTTGTGAATATCTGTAAATCTAAACTTCTTCCCAAACTTATTAGAAACCGTATAGAAATAAATTTAACTGCTATACAACAGATATGTAGTAGTGACTTTAACACCTTACCTAGTGCTATGTACAAGTCATCATACGGACATACCTAAATTGTGTAGAAATTCACATAACTTGAACTTAGCTGTTCGCCAAAATTCGATCGCTATGATCTTACAGGGACCTAGTATTCTTATCATTCATTTGAGTTTAATAACTATAAAATGACGTGACCGGGCGTGGCATAACGGTTAGCGTGTTCAGATGTGACAAATGTTCATGGTTCGCGCCCACTTGCAGCAAAAAAAAAAAAAACCTTCCCCTTACTTTGAGGCCGTGGATGGTCAAATCCCACAATTCAGTCAAATATGAATAGCCCAAGATTTAACTGTAAATACTGTTGACTATCTACCTTGCCTCTAACTTATGAGCTCGGATATCCCTCGTATAGCTTGGCGCGAAATTCAAAACAAACAATCATGGTTGTCCGATTGTTTGTTTGTTGTTCAACACAAAGCTACACAATGGGCTATCTGTGCTCTGGCAACCGCTGGTATCTAAACCTGATTTTTTACCATTATAAGCTCTCGGAAATACCACTGAGTTATCGGGGGGAGGCAAACGTTTATACACACAATTGCTGGAATTTTTTTATTATTATCAAACATTTGTTTTTATTCTCGTTCATTAATATCGTGGGCAATTTTTTCTTACTTCATGAAAGCCCCTTGGAACCTTCCATGTTAAGAAAAAATCCTAGCACTATCGGTTAGGTTTGAAGTAAACCTCATGAGGGGGTTTATCTTCTTAATTTCTGCCTATATAGGTTCTACTGGTTAAATTAAAAAAAAAACAACATTAATTTTATGAAATTTACTCTATACATGGTAGACTCATATAAAGTATTGACAAATGTATAGAGTCTGATATAAAATATGTCCCCCGGTGGGACAACAATAAGTTTAGGGACTTACAATGCTAAAATCTGGGGTTCGATTCCCCGCAGTGGACACAGCAGATAGCCTAATGTGGCTTTGTTCTAAAGCAAACAGATAAAATATATTGAAATAGTCGCTATGTTACGTTTGCATACGTGGACCACATTTTATTTACAGACGTGTTTGATTGCTTTAGATTTATGCGCAAAATTACGCGAAGACTACCTGTACATACCTATCCCTCATATTTGAACTGATAGACTAGAGGGAAAACAGCTAGTAAACAGCACCCGCACCCACGGCCAACTTTTGAGCTACTTTTGCTTGACGATTAATGGGATTTGACTGTCAAATCACTCTTATAACACATCTAAAATGTGGAGAACGTTTTTTGTGGCAAGGGGACGTTAACATCGATTCCTCAGATTCGCATTCTAGGCACTTTAATCACTAGGCCACGCCCGGCCCATCTATTGATTTTAACAAGGTTTTATACTGATCATGAAAGCTGTGAAGTATTATCTTCGTATTGACTGGAGTGTGGTACAGACTTCACATTTCGAAAGGCATTCTTTCTTTTTCAGTCTTTTGATGAATTGTCAGCCGATATCTATTATTTGTTTGATCGACAAGATAATTTTTACCAGAGGATAATTATCATGTAATCATGATTACGGTCAACAAAGCAGATATGCTGAAGTGCCACTGAGCTATTGTATTTATGGTACAGTTTTTAAATCCCCATTAGTTATATTATTAAAGCATAAAGCGTGATATTTGACGAGAAGTAGCTGAAATGTATCGCCTTTATTTGAATTCCAGTGTTTCAACAGATTGCAAACGTCAGTATTGTAATACTTTGAAACAATTTAATTTATAAGACAAAAAAATACAGTTGCAAACTTCCAGTGAGATTATTTCGTGTGCAAACCTCTTTAAATTATAGAAATAATTACTTCAAAACCAGTGAAGTTACGTTTCCAGGGCTATTAGCTAGGCTGTTCTTACACCTGGTTTACTTAGATATCAGAGCAGTAAAGGAGAAAGTCTTAGATATTTGAAAAACTCACAAGGGTTCTACTTTTTCACTTTGTGAAAAGATATACTGGTTTCATCTATCTTTTCCTTATTAAACTTTTCTATGCCACGCTAACTACAAACTGCAATAAAGTTAGAAAATAAAATGTGTAGGCAGAAGATGAGATGGACTTATTCAAGGACACCAATGCTGCAACACTATATCTAATTCAATCCTTGTAATTTAGAACATGTGTGTCTTATTGCACGGAGGTGACTTTGAAAGTCAACGATGCAGAAATCATGATGCTTTATTAAACTATTGAATCCTTTGTTTTGAACCAAAGAACATACACAGTGTAAAGGAGCTTATTCACATTTGGAACTATTTCTGGAATGTAGAGACTTAGACATGCGCAAGGTGTTGTATTACTTATAATATACAGTGCACTATCTACCACTCAATCAATATATTTAGAGAGAATAATTAAACTTTAATGATAAATTACTCTTATCCTTGAGTTAGTATAGGTGTCGAAACATTTATAATTTTCTTTCATAAGTTTTATCTTACCCTGTGAGAGAAAACCAACTACGCAGAGATTAAGAAATAACAGAAACGATCAAGAATAAATAATCGTGTTATGGCCTAAATCATCTCAATCATAATATTTTTTCGCATTATTTCACAGAAAAACGAATATCATATTTTAGTACAAATAAAATTACACCTGCTTGTTTGTTTTGAATTTCGCGCAAAGCTACACGAGGACTATCTGCGCTAATAGTCCCTAACTTAGAGGGAAGGCAGCTAGTCATCACCACCCACCGCCAACTTTTGGGCTACTCTTTTTACCAACGAATAGTGGGATTGACCGTCACATTATAACGTCTCCACGGCTGAAAGAGCGAGCGTGTTTGGTTTGACGGAGATTCGAACCCTCTTACACACGCATACCGTATAGATATACAGTATATATTGTGCATAATATACAATATATATATATATATACTGTGCTTTAACAGGTACTTATTTCTATTATTGATTTATTATTCTAGTAGAGGAAAATAATGAGTTTTATAAAATGAAGCTCTATAAAACCATACCAGTTGCACACATTTTCTTCACAGAACCGTAATTTGAGAATGAAAAAAATATTCCAATCTAATATCAAGAGAGTAGATTTAATAGTGCGATTTGGTTAAGGTTTAATTTCATTTATTACCTGTAAATCATGAGATGGTAGAAAACTTTCTGAACAGCAGGTGTTTGGAGGGAAATGGTCTATCATCTTTACCAGGAGGAGTTGGTGCGAGTTTTATAATATTACAAAGGATTGTTTCTCTCGCTTCATTTCATACTGTCCTGCCACATGCATTTGAAGAGAGGCTGTCCTAGGTGTCTTCTTTTTTTTAAAAAAAAATATAAATGGTAAACGTTTTCGGCCTTTTCATCATGGACCCACCAAAAATAAATAAATAAATAATTTTTCATAAAGTCTTTTTTTTAAAAAAAAAACGAAGACAGTCTTGTTCTCTGTTACATCTCGACTTCTTTCCTTACCACAAGGAATCAGAAAAGGTTCAGGTTCTATCTAATGCCTATTTTTCACTATGTACGTTATGAGTGATGATTTAGAAAAAAAAAAACGCCTCAGTTTACTTAATAAAATGTATTGAATTCGACCGCAAATAAGGTTCTCACATGGATTTCTGCGTGTGCGTGAATACAGCCGCCCAATCACATGGATTTTTGCGTGTGCGTGAATACAGCCGCCCAAACTGGAAAAAACTGGTGGTAAAATGTTGACAGTGACCTAAAACCAGTCGAAGGTTGTTCAAAGATAAAAGTCACAACTGACAGTGTGCTACCTCAAATTAATGTCCCGAGAAAAAGGAAAATGAAAACCATCAACAGATTCAAGTGACGGTTTACGATCTTGCAAACTACGTTCACAAGAACCAGACCCTCCGAGACCAAATTTAACTATTAG